AACAACGCTACAGTGACGGCAGAGACTTCCTCTAAAGAATTGCAGGAGGTCAAGGTGAAAGCTGCCGCCTTGTCCCAGAAACTTGCAAATCCGTGGTTGCTCTGGGACAACGCGCGCCCCCACAAAGCGAGAGATACTCAGGCCGTCCTGGACAGGCTGGGCATCAAGACGATCACGCATCCACCGTATAGCCCGGACATCAGTCCATGCGATTACCACATCTTCCGGTCCATGCAAAATTTCTTGGACGGAAAACAGCTGAAGAACGAGCGCGACCTCGAGGACGTGATCGAGGACTGGGCCGAGTCGCGGCCGGCCAGCTTTTGGGAGGATGGAGTTGCCTCTCTACCCGATCGTTGGCGAAAGGTAGTGGGTATGCATGGAGATTATATCATGGACCGGTAAGTTCAACTTGGTGAGATATCTTTACCAGCTCTGAAAAAACGAATGGCCAACGAACTTTGTGGACACCCTAATAGACCAGTCTCGTTTCTGGAATGTACGCGAGGAAGAATACTTTTATAGCTGCATTTCGCTCGTTTCTGCACCCTCTCACCCATTCATCGTCCTGCCCCTCTTCTGGGCGCATAGCCTTTCTCTATTGTGTGCTCGATGAGTTCCGAATTAGAGGCTATCACTGGAGGATTTCAACGGTTTTTGTTATTCACGATCAAGCCAACCAGCACCCTCAGATCTATTCCATGTCATGTACTGCGGCCATGAAATATGGCTTTGAATGTACCTGGAAGTCCCCTACCATTGATCTACTATAAGTCAATTCCAGGAAGCAGTCGAGCAATTCTGTCCGTTTTCCATCGGAAAAAGGGTATGTCTCGGTGAAGGGATGGCGAAAATGGAACTCTTCATCGGACTGATCACGTTGGTGCAGAACTTCAAGGTACTAAAATACATATTTTTCATATTTTGGAACGGGTACTCCAAACGATCTCGGATTCGGGATTTATACTCTATTTCAGATTGAGCCCGTGAAGGGACGCGAAATTGATTTGGAGCCAACTCTAGCCACTGTAATGTTGCCGAAGCCACAATGTGTTCGACTAACGCCGGTCTAAAGAAGCTCTGTAATTATCAGGAAAAATGTATATAGCTATGTTTGCATTTAAACATGTATTGATTTTTGCGAATTTCTAGGTTTCAATGAACTCTTGCAATTTAGCACATTTGTTTCGAACTTTTTAGTGCAATGTTTTTAATTTCAGCCCTCTTACAGTCAATGCAAGGGCCACAAATTAAAGGCAATTCCCGCGACCACACTTCATAGGTAATACAGTTCAAAAATAGAATTGCCCTGTGATTGTTGACTTATTGAAGAAGGAAGCACGAAAAAGCGCCCGCAATAAGACCCTCTTTATTTCAATTGATCATGATCACCGGACGAGCGTAAGGTGGTCAAGATCAATTGTGAATTGCGAAAGGCGGCGATACACTGATAAAAGACGAGAGAGGCCAGAAAACGACGGTCGAGAGAGCGCAATGGCATCCTCACAACGACACGGTCAGTGGGGGCGGGCATGGGCCTATCGGGCGCAAGTGGGCCTAAAACCTGAGCGTCGCCCTGCGGTTTTTTGCTTGCTATTTTTCCAATCATTTTTAAAACAGCACATCCTTTATGTTACCCTCCTCGATCAATCATGGCACGTTTATGAGGTTCTAGTGCTTTGTTTTACACTGAATCGTGCCTTTTAAGTCAAGTCATCAGATTAGGTTGGAATATAAACAAGGCAAGGGGTACGCGTAGGAGTTGCTTGTTATCACGCATTGTTGCACCAACCGAGGGAACCTTGTTTGAAGGCACAGGCTCTGAATGACGCGTGGGCCGAGCTGATGTCCTAGAGCTCCTCAATTACAGATAATCTACTGCTCAGGATTCTGAGTGCAAGGACGCAGCAAGCTCCACGCCCACTCACACGCCCTCTGCTGCGGAATGCACATGGTGCAGAAAGAACAGCAGCTTATCTGGCCTAAACACTCAGTGTACAATGTGGAGATACTGATGGGCCACTTATGTTTCGAGACTTGTTTCCTAATGTTTCCAGTAATCCTCGGTCTATATCCTCCTCACTCACCCCCCGCTCCCCCAAGCTCCCTGCCTCGCAGGGCAAACTAGGAGGCTTGGCGAACCTACTAAGTTGGTATCCGAGGCCATCCGCTCAGTGGCTTGCGATGTTGGCGGCGCATTTCCCTTGATCTCCGATTTTTTTTTTGCCCTCCCCTCACCACTCGCCTTCCCGGCCAACCTTTTCTGTACCTCGGTATCGATATATTCTTTTTTGCATCTTATGCACACAATTTTCTTGGTCTCCACTCGTGGTAGTGTTTAATGATAATACATTATTAAGTTGCCTAATACGTAAACTAAATTAAAATCGAACATGCATAATGTACCGAACATGCCGTATCCAAATGTTCAAGCATTGCTATAGCTCCAGGTTAGCCAAAATTGGGTAACTGATGGCAGCGACAGACGGGAGTGCAAACGACAGGTAATGACCCTAAGCAACGAAGAGCGCTTGAAATGAAACAGTCCAAGTATGAGTTGCAGGCGCAAGGGGATCTTGTAATTCAGTACAGAGATCCTTTACAGTACATCGGGGCAGGTTCATGCGCGCTGCGTTTGGCGCGGTGCCAAACCCGCTCTCCACCAGTATTCAAAGCGAGCAAATGATATGACTATATTATATCCTCCCCGTATTACTCGTTTTCTACCACTTTTTGGCGCATACGCGTTCAAAAGGCCGAGAACGGCTTCAACAGTGTGCACACTCATACTGGCTGACACGCCCCCGGTTCGCGAATTGATGAAGGACTTGTAAGAATTCCCTACAGTTTTTACAGCCGTCCTCGTTACCTTCATACCGCTACCCTTGCCAAGAGGGCAAAGCCTAGTTGGTGACTGTCTCTGCCCTTACGACGTGCTGTGATGATTGTGTGCTGCTACTTCAAGAACATTCACGGAAATCTGTGGAATCAAAGCGACGTTTGCTCTAGCATCGCTTCGATTCCGTAAGGCCGCGTTCATACATGACGACGTTGTGGAAAAACGGAAATTGCGAAAATGAAATGCATACGTGTCGATTTGAAAACTGCATTTCTGCAAATTCGCGGAATTTGCAGAAAGTGACGGAAAAAGAAATGATAGGGATCGATTGGTTCGTTCCTGCTGTCGTGCGGATTGGGAGAGAAATGCAGAATCTCGCATTCGTCGCAAATTCTCGGCCGAATTTGGCAAAATCAGGAAATTTCGGACCAAAGAAGCGAATAGGATTCGTCCATCGTTCCTGCGTCGTGCGGAATCGGAGGAAAAGTGCTAGTATACTTCATTGGATCGTCAAGGCGAAAAGGTTAAATTTGAGAGTATTGACACTTGGGATGTTTCTGCACCACATGTGTTCATGTTTCTGTTTCTGCTATTCAACTACTACCACTACTTCCCAAAAGTCAAAAAAAATTGTTAGCTGAAACTCCGCCACGGGGGTAGTTCGGTGCCCTGATCACGAATTCAGCATATAGCACTAGCAGGGATAGCGCCATTGTGACGCCACAGCCACTTTTCTCACCAAATTAGATGTGAATTTGGGTATAGCAGGGTTACTTGATGTTCTGATCACGAATAACGCATTAGTTTTCAGCCCTGTCGCCATTTGACGTTGATTTAGCGCCACACACTTTTTCATCGAAATCGAATAAAAGCTGCAGTATACGGTTGCTTGATGCCCTGATCACGGATGTGATATTTATTTCTAGATCCCGGGACAGCAGTGATTCCCTTTAGGCGAGGCTGAGCCCTAGCAGAGCGCAGATGATCGTAATGTCTTCAATCAGCGCCAGCGCCAAAATGTGATACTTCTAATCAAAATGTCAAATAACCTCCGCGTACAAGTTTTCAACGAATTTGGTGATTTAGGGTTTTTCGCACCGGCACCTCTGGCGCGGGCACCAGGCAGTTTCAGGCGAAGTGCATGTGACATTCGTGTTGGGGAAGTGGCTGAATTACCCCTAGAACCCAACTTCCAGCCAAATGTGCCCCCGTGAAAAGTCGATTAAAATCCGGCGTGTGTTCGGAAAATCCGGGTAGTAATAGTTGAATAGTGCCCCATTATTTTTATCATGCACTTCTTGTGGTTAACAAATTCACAACAACGCCTGTGTTTTTCCCACCACTGATACTGCTGTCTCTGCACATTCCAGCGGGATGCATTATTTATCACGACAATCATTATCACAACAGACATCACTTCGTGAAACCCTTTTTAACGGAACAACAACAAAATTGCAGCTTCAGGGACTGCGAATTCGGGAATTTATGACGCAGTGTAGCCGTTTGACATTCATAGAACAAAAGTAGAGTGAAGTCAACAAAAACCAATACAACAAACAATTAACAAATGGAATAACAAGAAAAGAAGCTGACAAAACAGCAACAGCGAAACGTGTAACAATTCACTTTCCCTTTCCGCCTTCCTCCATTGAAACAAAGGAAAATTACTAAGTTGACCTATTTCTTAAATTATCGCTAACGCCAGTAGAAGAGGCGTCACCCGGTGACTTGAATATTCTTCTCATGGCTGAGAGATCGAAGAAAAGCCGGAACGTGATGGCGACCCGTCACGACGGAGCAAACGAATGCAGGGAATCCTGGTGAGGCGTCATCCCGAGAAACCGTACATGCAAGTTTCGAAAATCATATCGAAAAAGTGGAGCAGTGTTGGGTAACGTACCGAAAATAGCGGCTAGGCCATAGGTGTTTTGTGCCGATTAATCCTGAATTCTGAAGTTGTTAAGCATACCGGCTATATAATCCTCCGGAACCACCAGATTTGGGTCGTTCTGTTTCGCCGAAAAGGAGAGCAATGTTAGAGGTGTCAGTTCTCGACTTGAACTATGTTCACGGACCATGCGTGGCAACATCAGGAGCATATCGTGTGAAAGTTGCGCATTGATTTGATCCAAATGGTTCGCAGTCCATGTCCTGAAAACAAACTATTTCTCTACAGTAATCTGTAATAAGAGAAAGTACCTGAAGAGTTAGATAACGAGCAATAAAACGCGGTGCAGAAACAGCAGCATATCATTTCCTCGGTGGGACTGCTATACTGAGTCCTGTAAATAAAAAACGAAAAGGTGAAGAGAATGACAAATTTTCCAAGCTTATTTTCAGAAATGGATCGCCAGCAAGCTCTTGACGTATTGGACGCTCTGCAGGAGTTGGAGCGTTCTTATGAGGCTTACGAGAGACGACGAAGACAGTATGTTCGGTCGGAGCATGTTCCTTTTCTGGACCATCGTTTACGGACGTTCGATGAGTATCTCTGTACCCTCGTGGCCCGTAGGCAGTTCAGTGGCAGGGTTCGTCAGTAGGTTAGGGGCCGTACCTTATGTAGTAGTTTCGCTTCTTAGTAGTTCTTTCCTTTTTATTATTATTGCTCACAGTTATTTGTAGAGTGGTAAACGTAATAGTTATTTGTGTCTTGTTGTGTAGCAAGAGTGGTTGAACCACATCATTCCTCACATATTTATTCATCACAGTTTTATCACAGTTTGTAGTGTAGTACATGATGCGATGGTTGTTGATCCTAGTAGGATGTTAATGGCGGATATAAGGGGACGCCCGTGCGAGCAGGTATCCTTAGGTAGGGAGATTGAGGCAACAGGGACGTAGGTGAAGCGCGTAGTAGGTGTTATGACCGTAGGGTATATCTAGCGCAGGGGCAGTAAGGGCCTACCGGTAGCGCTTAGCTCCTTAGCACCCGCGTGGCAGCACCGTGACGAGCATAGGCAAGCGTTCGTAAGTCCTCTGCAAACCCTCGCGCCGAGGACGGATCCTTTCCCCTCGAGACACCGATGCTAGGTCAGAGGGGCCTCACGACCTGGTAAGACGCCAGGCACTGAGGGGAACAGGAAGCCGCCCCCGGCACGACATGGTGCATACGGCTGGGGTTCAACGTGTGGGAAACCCACGTTTGGGCCTTAGTGATCGAACCTTGTTTACGCTTGCCACGTACCAGTAGGCCTAGGTAATGGTCGTAGGGCGTTTG